ATATTCTAGTGACGATTAAGCTACAACAATGGAGCCTTATCGGATATAATCGAGTCTGCCGTGCGTCAGTTACCCGTGAAGCTTCCAGACTTGCCACTCGAGACGAAAAGCGACGAATTCTGAGCAAAAAGAGAAGGATATCGCGAGAGAAATTTTACTTTTGACAAAATTTATCAGCTACTGAGAACTCGCGGAAAAAGACCCAAAAGCATTTGCCCCTCTCTGCATAAAATTGTATAAAATATTTTGGATAGGAGCTCGGGTACGTGGGTGCGCCACTGCCCAAAGGATTCAGGGCCATTGAAAGGCTCCTCGGTCCCCCTTGAAATTATAAAATATCAAGATAATATTTTTTTTTTCATATTATCATTCAAACTCCGTTGCAAAAAATGTCCAAACGTCAACAAAAAAATATATATTCCACGATCAAGAAAGAATTAAGGAAGTTGAGAAAGGCAATAAAATTGACGCGTCAAAGGACGAACACAATGATGAATAATAATAATTCGTAACAGATCGAAAAGATCGCGAAAGAAGCAGAGACAGAGACAACAATGAAGAGACTAGGTTCAGAACGTTCTAAAAAAAGCCTCTGATCCCTCCTATCTGCCGATATACACTTTTATCGCGATTTTATCTCTTTAATCTCGATCTCCCCTCCTCTTCGATCTTTTATTCATCACGCGTAGATATCAAGTTGTTTCGCCCCTCGACACCTTTTTTTCGCGCACCACGTATCGTCTCTAAGCCCGTGCTTCTCGGACGCGTTGCTTTGCATGCAAGGAAGAATGGAACTGAGATCGGCACGCGTCCCTTGCGCGACACGTCACACGTTTTATTCTCTATAAACGCACGGGATAAACCTCGTAAATCCGTTTACCACGACAGTCTTGGCGCACGATGAATATAAGGATCCGCGTGTCGACCGGCCTCTGTTCAATTATTATGCGTTTCACGAACAACTCGAGAGAGAAAATAATTTTCTTCCTAAAGGAAAAAAGAGAGAATTTTTTTATTACGCCTTGTCACTCGCGACGTTTGATGATTGGTTAGATTCGATGTATGAAATTTATTATAGATATAGCAACATGTGATCGCAATATCTTTTTTATTTATCGTACGTTGAGTGTTTCGTTCATTTTTAGAATTGAACCGTAGACGAAATATTAGAATTAAGAAATTAAAAAATCGACTCCGCAAGAACGAAATGCAAATTTAAGATCCTTAACCGCCAAAATGTTTTTCACAAATTTTGAAAATTTCATTTCCTCCCTTTAAAAACTCGGCTAATCGATACAATTTTTACGAGGCTCCTTAAATTTTACGATTCCCGCATCATGCTCGTTCGGTTTCACAGCCGAGAAGATATCGATTAATTATTTTAGATAGAAGGAGATATGTTTGGATCGATGAGCTCAGAAACAGTTCGATTTAAACCACCGTAAAAAAATTATATAAATTCCCATTTCTGTTTTCTTCTTTCCGTTTCCTAACAAATCCTCGCACCATGCGTCATAATGGAAAATAGAAAACGATACGATTCGATTATCGATTTCCTTTATTTCGACACGAAGTTGAACCTTCAAGTGATCGCTTCTTTTTTTTCTTCGAAAAGGAAATCGATCACCATCTTAAAAATGAATCGAGGATTTCGATGAAAGGAAGTAAAAATCGGCGATCGATATTCGATAAATCTATCGCGATCACGGGAGACCATTCTTCCAAGGGAGACATTAATTAAACCGAGGTCGGCGATGTTATCACTGTGCCGCGTTCGCACGCGGGAAGAAAAGCCTGATTAATGGAACCCTATCCTCCTCCTCCTCCTCCTCCTCCTCGGTTGACCAGAAAAAAGGATATATTATATCCCTTTCTTTTTCTTTATCCCGCCAAGATTTTTTATTATAACTTGCTTCCTCTTTCTATCGCGCAATCTTTTTCGACCGTGGCAAAAAAGAGGAAAAAAATCAATGAGGAACAGAATTCGGAAGGAAATCGAAGCGAAAGTGAAATTCTCGGGAAGAAATGTGCGGCAAATAATTTTTCAAGCGTGGATGATCGAATCGGTGGAACGAATGATGGAACGAATGGGGCGAAGATAGGACTCGTTTACAGCGTAGTGGGTACTCGTCGTGGCGTCGTGGCCACTCGTCGATCCTCGATCGAGCCGCATTAGAAAATGGCGAAACCCGTGAACCTCGAGTACGCTCCACGTAGACAATTAAGGCATGCAAGTGGGCCGCCGATCACTTCCTCACAAACGTCGACGAGGAGGGGCTCGATCTTTTCCCCCGCTCGTGATGAGAATCCACCTGTAGAGATAAATAAATATGTTAAAATTCTTTTCGAAGGAATTTTGCAATTTTCTCCTCGAAAATTTTATCAATCATCCTGACGAGCTCTATATGATAATTAATCTTTCTTCATTTATTAAAATTCATTCGAATGGGTAGAGAAGAGACACGAAGAGATTTGCACTTTCGATGAGGCATCCCCTTAATCAAATAGCTGTGGCTTATATACCTAAATAAAAATAAAATATCTATTATAAAATAGAAATAGAATAAATAGAATAAAAAAATTTTTTTGAATACTAATTTTCATTTTATTTTTCTTATTTGTCGCTCGGCGTGCTTTTATTTTTTTATCCTATTTTTGTGTTTCCTAATATAAGATAGAAGTTTAGTTTCATTTTTGACTGCTGTTCGAGTCTCTTTCAAAGTATATTTTTGTGAACTTTCCCTAATATGGACAAACCTTTTACTTCTTCCAGTTCCTCGAGAAAAAGCCGCGTTGAACAAAATAGTTGACGAATATAGAAGTTTTATAAATTTTGAGATTTTTAGTAATAACAACTTGTACGTTTACGCTTTATTATACTTTTTTATATATCTTTTGTAATTTATAAAATAATTAGAATTACATTATCCAGTATTATGATTTGATTTTAGTAAAATATTTTTTTTGTGTGTTTGTTTAAAGCGATCATTATATTCGCACTAAAAGGGTTAAAGTACATTTGGAACTACTCACGAAACTTGTTTTCTCGCAAGTGGAAAACTATATCGAGATAAATATCGATGATTCTAGAATAATTATCCTCCTAATATAATTATGAGAAATACTACACTCATCGATACACGCAAGAAATTTTATATTTAATAATGTAAAATATGAACTTACGCCAGCCTAGCCTCACCCATCGATAACGAATCCACTCAATAACGTTCTTCTTTCGACTCTTCTCTCCCTTTACAGCACACGATTCGAAGGCCCCCATCATTTCGCGACACCTCGAATCGAATCGTGTTGTCGAGGAAAAATTTGAAACCCTCCTCCGAGCAACGTGTCCTCCTCCTTTTGAAATCTTGTCACACGTGTTTCATTCGCGCCCCGCTCGAGGAAAATATTCTGGATGCGGTGCAGGGAACGTAAAATCGGCCAAGCAAAATCGTCAAAGTTTACGAGAGATTCGACAGAAAGCTTGAAAAGGAAAATAGGGAGGATCTCTGGAAAGGTCATAGATTTGAGTCGCGCCGTTGTCAAAGCTACGTGTTGGATTGTTCGATCGACGAAAGGTCGAAATTCCACGAGAATTTTCCGCTCTCATCGTCGATCCACAGTCGGGTGGTCTTTATATGCTGGCTCGATGCATCGTCCACCCCTATTGGGGCTATTGTTGTTCATTTTTTCGTGAATTTTCCTTCGGCTCGTTTCGTGCAAGGAACTAGGTTCGCCCATTTTCTAAATCGTCTTTCTCACGAATAACAAGAATAACGGCTGTCACCAGAAACGAAAACAGCATTACGGATGGATAAGCTGGATGACGATATTTCGTACCTAGAGAGAGAGGGAGAGAGAGAGAGAGAGAGAGAGAGAGAGAGAGGGAGAGAGGGAGAGAGAGAGAGAGGGAGGGAGAGGATTTATTATTAAGCTACTTTCAATTTTGATGCGACGTAAATAATAGAAAAGGAACGGTTGAAATAAATACGCGTATTTATTACGAGGAAGAGGATGCCGGAAATATATTTAAAAAAATGTAAACTTTTCTACACGGTCGGACTATTTAATTAGAATTTTTTAAATACCTTTCAAAAAGAGTATATATTTTCAGAGGATACGTAAAATATGTACGTGTTTTTCCGCTATTTTAAAACTACGTATGTTTCCAAATTTCTTTAAAAATTTCTTCTTACAAACTTCCCCTAACTTCTTCCACGATCTTCCAATATTTTCCAATATATTATTCTATTCACCCACTCGATTTACATATATGTAATTTCCACGAAATATCATGTCGTAATCCATATTACTCCCTATATACAATTGCCAAAAATTTGGAAAGAGTAGATACTACTTTAACCCTTTGCTCTCCAACGGTGACTCTCGCCACCATTGTTGCAACTTGAACGGTGACAATATTTATGTTCGATTTTTTTATAATATCGCTTCATAAATAAGTTCCTAAGCCCTTTATGTATAATCTTATGAGATGTAATCTTATCTTATGAGTAAATTATCTTATGGTAATCTTATGAGGCCACCGAATGCGCGGGTCTGAGTCTGGAGTTGCTGGTTCGAGTTGCAGGCCTCGAGTGCAAAGGGTTAAAATTCGTACATTAAATTGTTCTCTATAACGATACAAGTTCCTAAACCATTTATGTATAATCTTATGAAGTGTAATCTTATCTTATGAGGCCACTGAACACATTGAATGCGCGGGTCTGGAATTGCTGGTTCGAATTGCAGGCCTCGAGTGCAAAGGGTTAAAATTCGTACATTAAATTGTTCTCTATAACGATACAAGTTCCTAAACCCTTTATGTATAATCTTATAAAGTGTAATCTTATCTTATGAGTAATTATCTTATGAGGCCACCGAACACATCGAATGCGCGTCTGAGTCTGGAGTTGCTGGTTCGAGGCCTCGAGTGCAAAGGATTAAAATTCGTACATTAAATTGTTCTCTATAACGACACAATAACCAATTTATCGTTCCAGGTGACGTGGATCAGAAGAAAGGACAGGCAATTACTGACGTTGGGGACGGGTACTCACGCCATCGATACGCGATTCGTGGTCGTCTCAAACAGCCCAGACTGGACGTTACTGATCAAGAACGTTAAACGCGACGACGCCGGTCTCTACGAGTGCCAGGTAAACTTATTCACTTATCGAATTCGTTAATAAATAACAACACGAAGAAAAAGAAAAAGAAAAAAAAAAAAAAATCTGTTGGAAACAGATTCAAACGGAGCCGGTCCAACAACGATTCATTCGATTGAAAGTGACGGAGGCGTACTCCGTGATCCCCGGTGGTCCCGACCTGCACGTGAAGCAAGGATCGAGCCTTCGACTCGAGTGTCAATTAATCGCGTCGACCGAGGCGCCCAGCTTCATCTTCTGGTATCGAGAGGGGCGCATGATCAACTACGACGACGAGCCAGGTGTGAGGGTTGAAGCTACGAAAAACGGGTCGATCCTGGTCGTCGACAAAGTGAAACTTTCCCATGGTGCTAATTACACTTGTTCCCCGAGCAACGCGAGGCCTGCGTATATCATGATACACGTGATCGAAGGTTAATACAATATTGTTAATACTTTTAACGCTCTTTCCCCTACCGGCAAACTTTCAACATCCATATTTCCATCCCACTCTTTCTGTGCAAAACGAGCAGAGGGATAAAAATCGTGGAAGGTAGGGTGGATGTGTTTCGATACCTGGCTTTACTTTTTTTTATCGGCCATAAAAAGAGAAGGCCTCCCTCGAGAATGGCATCGAGACGCGACAGCTCGTTTTCTTTCTTTCTTTTTTTTTTTTTTTTTTTCTCTCTCACTTTCTTTTTCGCTCGTTTCTGAAATTGTTTCAGAAAGAGTGAAGACGAATACTCCGAGGAGTATTTCCTTTTTTTGATAAAAAATAATCACCGCAAATATATTCGACGACATGCAAACTTTAATTCAAACTTCGTATATATATGTATATGTGTGTGTGTGTGTGTGTGTATATTTTCATTGGCGGAGAAATATTTCCGTTTATTTTGAAAAAAATCTTCAATTTTCAGTTCGCCCGCCACGTTTACTTTCCCTCCAACGTTTAATTTTCCCCATAACTTTTTCCTCCCTTGTCTATTTCCAACCGGGGCGGCACGTTATTTTCTCATTGCCCCATTTCTGTTTGTAGAAGAGGAAAAACCGGCGGCTATGCATGGCGGTGATCGGCGAAACGCTACGTCGAGAGCGTCCATCAACGTCATGTTGATTTTTCTCACTTTTCTCGGTATACGAGCCTCGAATCGACTTTGCCCGCGACAAGCCCGCGCCACGTGACCAGCCTATCCTGTCAACTTCGAATTGATACAGGAATCCCCGTGAATAATATCAATAATCCCTCTACTTCTGTCTTCTCTTCGTCTTCGCGACGATTTTTTGTATCTCTCGCGTATGGACGCTTCCTTCGTTGTGCTTCTCGTGAATGAACAATTGGAATGTCCATTTTGAGAGAAGTATTCTCAACGACAATTCTATCCATTATTTTTAATTCGAATCGCGTTCTTCGGGATTTTTCACATAGGGAAAAAAATTAAAATTGCACGGTAATTTTTCACTCCTAAATACAAATACAAAAATTGTTCTTCGTAGAGTTGATTGATCATTTCAATTGAGTGGAAAAATAAAAACTAATGCCGTGATCAAAGCGTCCATTCGCGAATAAATATATTCTCTCTCTCAAGAGAGAGAGAGAGAGTGTATATAATTCGACGATTTAATTTAAAGGCTCCCCAAAGCCTGATAAATTATCGAAAATAAGAATAGCACGCGAGATGTCTATTTTTCACTTTTCACATTCGAATTGAATTCGGGAAGCGTGATATTCGTGATCTTGAAAACGATTTCAACGTTTTCGCCGATATAAAATATATACGATGTATTTAGATCGAGATTAGGGATTGATTAAAAGATTCTTAGGAAAAAAAAAAAAGAAAAGAAAAAAAAACTTCGTTCCATTAAATGTTGAAAAACGTTAACGCAAGACATTCGCGACGCTGCAACGATTATCGTGAAACGTGCGATTATCGTAAACCGAACGTAAAGCTCAAGCAATATTATAAATCGAGTATTATAAATTCGTTTTTTAATCGAATATCTTCTCACATATTTTTATCGTACGTACAGGGTGTCCAGGATTTTAATTATTACGAATTATTTGTAAGAAAATAATGAATTGACGTGAGTGAGCTTTAAAAATTATTAAACACTAGACTATTCTTTTTAAAACTAAAAACCGATTCTTCCTTCTTCGATCCTTTTTTTTTTTTTTTTACAATAAAAATATCTTACAAATAATTCGTAATTATAAAACGTGACCACCCTATACGCAAGAAAACTCACCTTCAATGCACTTATCGGTTTATCTCTTTTCCCAAAACGAGTATATGCGAGGGAAACGAAGCGCGCGAGAGAGATTACATCAAGAAGAAGAGAAAAAAGAAAAGGTGTGCGACACATCCGTTTGCATTTTTTAAACCGAAGGAAGGACCGTTCGATTAAACGGTCGATCGCTCCAAAGCGTGGAAAGACAAATTTCTGTAATGAAGGAGGGGGAAAGGAGAAGAAAAAGCGCGTTTCATGCGAAATATATATATATGGATCCATATGGACAATGAGTGGATTCGAGTTCAATATTCTCTTTCGTTTTCGCCCATAAGTCTAAATTTTTTTTTTCCTCGCGTATAAATAAAGAATGACAGCCGTCGAAGCACGCGCGAAGACTTCGCGTCCATTCACGCAACGCGCGACGATCGATATTGACACGCGTTGAATGAAGGATTGAAGAAAAAGGCCGAGGTTCTTTCTCGAATATAATAATTTTTAATTTAAAAGTCGCGGCGATATATTTACATATATTTAAACGAGGAACAAAAGTGAAATTCATTTTCTCGCGTCTCTCTTAAAAAAGATTCGCGAATTTAAACGTCTTTTGTCCAAGATCGAGTTTTTTTTTTTTTTTTTTAGGGAAAAAGAAAATTTGAATTTGAAGTAGAAAATGTTTCCAGGATTTTTTTTTTAAAAGAGAGAGAGAGAGAGAAGGATACAACGGACTAAAATTTAATTTCAATTTTAACGAAGGCAAATATCGTTCGGTTAATAATTGAGAACTGATTATAGAAAGGTGTATTTGTACGATCAAATTAAAATTTTCATTATCAAAATATTATTTTTGGGCGAAATAAATCAAAATTTATTATTTTCAATTATTTCCACTCAAATAATTTATTATTGCGACGCATATATATATATATATATATCCAGTTTTCAATTAGGCGAGATAGAGGAGATTAAACGAGCCACGTCGTATCGTAAATTATACGAACGCCCAATACGCGATCCCAAATTTTTTTTTTTTTTTTTTTTTTTTTTATTAACAAACCGTAGACACGAAAAATCCAGCGAAACGATTTTACCTTTTGCGAACACGATTACACAGTAGCCTGAAAACACGTGAACAGTTTAGTCAACATTTCCTCTCCCGATATAAAATCACAATGAAGGTATGATTGAAAACTGCTAAACTGGTAAAAAAAAAAAAAAAAAAAAAAAAAAAAAATAAATAAAAGAATACGAACAATTCTCTCCATTTTGTTCAAACTAGTTTTATACAGCTCGATGTGTTTTTCCATTGGAAAAATATTAAACTCGCTTAACAAAGGGTACTTCGACGTGTCCGCGGATGAAGTACAATCATCGTTTGTCATATGCTTCCGCCACGGGAAAAGAGAAATTCTTTCTATCTATATAATACTCGCGAATCACAGTTTCCAGGTAATTATTAGAAATAATCACTCGATGTATTCAATGTGATCAATGTAAATACGTGTATACTAACTAATATAATAATTTAAATCGTATGTTTAATAAGGAAAATAGATAAGTATTAAAAGGTGTGCGTTTCTTTCGCGAATAATATATATATACATAAGAATTTTACAAGATATCTTTTTACACGGAACGAGAGATTATTAATCGCGTCTTGTGGGATAAGAATGTATAATTTCTCATATTTATAATACGACACGAACAATTCGATATCGATGATCGATTCTTTGATAAAATTATCAGAGATGATTTTCATTGCCCGACTTATTAATTAATCCGCTACCCATACAGGTAGCATTATAAAACTTATTAGCAGCAATAATCGAAAAATTGCATTAATTGACGTACGCGGATTTGATTCGTTTAACGAATCAATTTGTTTCGACGATAATATATGTATCGAGTGATTTTCAATATATCGACGTTTATGAAATATTTTTCGTTGATATAACAAAGATCTAAGGATGGAATAAAATGATACAAGATTTTCATCTTCGCGATATTATAATGTAAAAAAAAAAAAAAAAAAAAAGAAATGAAAAATAATAATAAATAAATTGAACTTTTTGAATCAAGCGAGTGATGATTATTTTATTTAAAAAAATATCTATCTTTCATCATCAGTGAAAATTGATATTTTTTTATTTTTTAAAATTGATATTTTTTTACAAATAAAAAATTACTTGGACAATCACTCTCCAAAAAGAAATACCCCAAAAGATACGCTTATACCAAGTTTATCCACAGTCTAAGAAATACATCATAACAATAACAATAACTTCTTCGTTCGATCAAGTTAAATAAATTGTTTCTACGTTATTCGAAAATAAGAAATTCATATATTCATAATAGTTTGAAAATAAGTAACTCGCAACGCAATACTCGAGCTCTTATTTCGTATTACTTCGAATATCCATAAGTGACCGCCATTCATACCGATTCCCGCCTGAGAGATATCACTTTAATAATAAGATCGTAAGAGGCGAGTATACCCAATAAAGCCACCATACGGGATTTCTCGTATCACTGCAATTCTATCCGATTCTATCCCAAGGAATTTCGCTTGCAACCCGTGAAATGTAATAACCCTCTTTGCACCGGTGCTAATGTATAGTAAAGATGTATCTTCCTGCTCGTGGAGAACACGCTTAATCGCGTATTACCAGGTAAGTACTTGTAAGATATTTAATGCGGAAATTATAGCCGATGAAAATGTTACGTCCTTTGAGAACGTCCGATGGAAATTCCTGGTAATCGGTAACCTCCCAAAGATTATCTTTCGTATTGTCCAACATCATAGATTTCAACCAAAGAATGGTAAATTTAAATCGAAAGTTAAATCGAAGGAAAGCAGATAAAAATATAAAAAAAAATATTAATATTATTTCTTTCTATTTTTCTTCTTTTATTCGTGAAATTTTTATTTTTTTTTATTTATTTAATTAATAAATTTTTATTTATTTAATTAATCGAAGAACAAAATGTAAAAAATCCCTTATTCCTATATACAGATTACAATGGATAGAAAATTTGAAATTTTGTTAAACCGAAGAAAAGATAAAAAAATATTAATGTTATTTCTTTTTATTCTTCTTCTTTTATTCGTGAAAATTAATCGAAGAACAAAATGTATTATTCCTACATACAGATTACAATGGATACAAAATTTGAAATTTTGTTAAACCGAAGAAAAGATAAAAAAATATTATTTTTTTCTATTCTTCTTCTCTTATTCGTGAAAATTAATCGAAGAACAAAATGTATTATTCCTACATACAGATTACAATGGATACAAAATTTAAAATTTTGTTAAATTGAAGAAAAGATAAAAAAATGTTATTTCTTTCTATTCTTCTTTTTTTATTTGTGAAAATTAATCGAAGAACAAAATGTATTATTCCTACATACAGATTACAATGGATACAAAATTTGAAATTTTGTTAAACCGAAGAAAAGATAAAAAAATGTTATTTTTTTCTATTCTTCTTTTCTTATTCGTGAAAATTAATCGAAGAACAAAATGTATTATTCCTACATACAGATTACAATGGATACAGAATTTGAAATTTTGTTAAACCGAAGAAAAAATAAAAGTATCAAAAAAATGTTAATTAATTTATTTCTTTCTATTCTTCTTCTCTTATTCGTGAAATTTTTTAATCGAAGAACAAAATGTATTATTCCCATATATAGTGGATACAAAATTTGAAATTTCCTGCAATCCATTTAGTCACGTTTCCATCACTTAATCGATTTCCAACCTTTACGAGACAGTCGCCAATAATCGCAGCTTATTCCCCTCCATTAATCAAAACTCAACGGGCGATTCAATAGCTAATTTAGTGTCTGTTGTACAAGAGATTCGGAGTCAATACGCGTTATCAAATTGCAACACCAACGAATTCCAAGCAGTAACATATGCCGAGCATATATCAAATAGAAACTCGTGATATTCGATAATTAATAATGGTATTCCATAGATTATATGAAATTATTCTGTATTACGAAGAGATTTGTATCAATTTCTCTTTGTCATTCATTCTACGTTAGCTACCGATTGCATTGGCTACATTGGCTGATATAATTTTGACGAATCCTTCGAATTTTTTCAATTTTTCCATAGAAGAAAAAAAGAATTGCATTTAATATCAACTCGTGGAGAGAAAAATATCGTAGAAATCGTTTGTTCGTTTTAGATTTATATCTAAACGTTAACGCGTTCTATGCATGAAAATATCATCGCTGATTATTTTAATTGAAACCGGTATACGTATATAGAATACGATATGAATATAGAACGATATGAAATATATCCAGTGAAGTTAATTGAAAAACCACGCGATGTAGAATAGTTTGGCGCAACAAACGATAATAAACGAAAACTACTAAACGAAGTTGGAGTTTTGCACTTGGCGCAAGTACACTTACGGCGAAAACTAGATGAAATATGATATGGACGTAAAATAACCTATCATCGCCGCGCTTAATCCCTTTCTATTTCCTTCGGTCTTATATCTTCTCTCTTATCCTCTTTATATCGTAAAAATCACGATAAAGAACATTTGTATATTATAGAAAAAAAAAAAAAAAATCAGAATGCAATTTTTAGAATAATAATTTTGATTACTTAAAAATGTACAACGATATAATATTTGTACAGGTAAAGCGAAAAACATTTTATCATATTACATTGATTCATTAATTTAAATATATATAGCGTATATAAAAATATCGGTGAAATATGTGGACGATAGTCGAAAATAAACTAATCGGTGAATCGGTCTTTGGCAACAGTCGCATT